TATACCTCCCGACATAATACTGATTTATCCTTGCCCATGAGAAAAATTATTTAAAAAAACAACAATACAAGTAAAAAGTAAAGATCGTAACCATCCATCACCCCGAATTTAATGCGAAACACGTGAATTTATAGAGAAACACGTGCGTTGCTTCATAGCTCGTATTCCAGCGTGTTCCGGGTGGGATTCCGGGTGTTCCGGGTGGGGTTCCGGGTGTTCCGGGTAGGGTTCCGGATGTTCCGGGAGGGGTTCCGGGTGTTCCGGGAGGGGTTCCGGGTGTTCCGGGTGGGGTTCCGGGTGTTCCGGGTGGGTTCCGGGTGTTCCGGGTGGGGTTCCGGCTTTTACAGACACCCTGCACGAAAGTTGTAAACAACACCATATAAGGATAGACATTCCATATTTGGAAAAACGAACGTTACGGGCAAGATATTCAAATTCATTAGTCATCGATGCAGGCTCTCAATTCAGCTTGAGAGCCTGTTCGCAGGCTAGTGTGTTAGATACCGTAAAGTCTCGAAAGTAAGCGCCCCCTTCGAAAGTAAGCGCCCCCTCGAAACTAAGCGCCCCCACCCCCGAAAAGTTGTAAAACATAGGGTATATATAAAGATGGACTTCAATGATCTGGTTTTTTGCACTTCACTTGGTGGTATTAATATTAGAATGCTGTTCTTAGGGTTTGTAATCCAAGTGAGTATATATATATATACATTTTAAGACCTGACCAGGAACGACTGCGAAAAATGCAGCACAAGGTCCTGCTTTTCGAAAAGCGATTAGCGGAACTTCTGTTGTTAGCGCGTGTCGATTTCTTGAAACGATGTAATTGATTTGTGAAAATACTCAGAATGCTTTAGTTAAATATCATGGTCAAATGGTCAGAATGCTTTAGTTAAATATCATGTTCAGAGTTTAGTTAAATATCATGTTCAGTTCCATGGTCAGAATGCTTTAGTTAAATATCATGGTAGGTTCAATTCCTACCGTAGGTTCAATTCCTACCAAAGGACCTTGTGCTGCATTTTTCGCAGTCGTTCCTGGTCAGGTCTGAAAATGTATATATATATACTCACTTGGATGATAAACCCTAAGAACAGCATTCTAATATATATATAAAGATAACAATTTATATAAAAGATAACATTTCGAATAATGACATGATAAAACATGTTAGAAACAGTAATTTTAAGGACCCAGTTTACACTATATCGCATTTAACGCATATATATCATAGTCATTAAAGAAACTCTCTAAACCATATGTATACCATATATACTCTATAGCATGGATTTAAAAATTGCCGATGCTGAAAATAACAACTCGAAAGTAGGCGCCTTCGAAAGTAAGCGCCCCTTGAGGCCACTAATTTCGAAAGTAAGCAGGGCGCATACTTTCGAGACTTTACGGTATGATAGGTTGGGTTTAGCATTTGGAAAATTTACGGACTACCGAAGTTACGCCCGTTTTCAAATTAAGTCACTAGCCTTATCATATTGAGTTTTTATGTCAATCCGAAACTAAAATTGTTTGCATGTCGTGTTTGATTGCAAAGACATTGGCTTCATAACCTTCATATAAAAGTTAGATTTATTCACAAAATATTTTAGACACAATTGTTGCAAAATTCAGCTGAACATTCGACAAAATAATAATATGACCAAAATATTCTTGTGCAACTGGGTCACTTTTTTGTATATGTTGCTTTATATTTATAGGTTCATTATCCTTTTTTATGGAATCAAATAAGGTATAAAGCGCAACGAGATTGCAACGCTTTTTTTTCGGCAGGTCACGTGTAATTTTGAAAACGAGTGTAGGAAAAATAGCCATAGGGGAAAATAATAATAATACCTAAATATAAAAATATCACAAAAATAAAATAAAAACAGCAACAAGTAAACAAAACCGACCAACAACACTTAAAGATGCTGTAAGGTGCGTTCTGTGCATAACAAAGGGTGACCCGCAGATATAAACATTGCCCAAATTTTGCATCTTTCTAACTTTTTTGAATTGAAACGTAGAGTTTATATTCATTTACAAGCATAGCGAACCAGAAAGTGTTAGATAATAGATATTCAGTTAGCATATCATATTTTACAAATATATAGCGGTTCAAAATGTAAACAAAGCGTTTGTTTGTATTATAGTCAATACGGACATTACGGCATCTTTAAAAAAACAATCTGGTTAAAATGTTTTCCCTCCTTAACCTATACAAATAACCTTATATTTGTGTTAACATAATATTCCTGTTTAAACTTCCTGCATGGTTATTTGAATTTTTTTCCTACCACAGTCTGGTTACTTTGACCAGGACTTCTTGCATGGTTAAACCATAGCCTGTGGAAGGGAAGATGGCTGTGAAACCATTAGAATAACAATATAATTCATTATCTATGTTAGTCAACGTTTATTCATAAATCTGGTCCTTCGCCGTCGTCACGTGTGTATTGTATTTTTTCCCCACTAACCAATAGCAATGTTTTAGGAAAGTTGCTGACTTATCCCTGACACGAACAATAGGGAAATTGCTATTGGCGGATTTGGCAAAAATACACACATGCATGAAGGTGAAGGACCAGATTCATGAATAAACGTTGACATCATAGACAGTCAATGAGTTATATTGTTATTCTAATGAGTTTCATAGCCATCTTCCCTTCGATAGGCTATGATTAAATCAAGCGGACTTTATGCTAGGTAAACAACCAGGGGCTCTGCTTATATATCCACCTAGGATAGAGTTTGGCTTTTTGTAACAAGGACATTTTACTATGGTAGAAGTTAAGATAAAATAACCAGGAAATTTAACCAAAAAATTTGAGTTAACCCAAACAGTACGGTTATTTCTAGATTAACCAGAAAATTTTAATCAGAGTGTTTTTAGAGCGAACATCTTATTTACGACCGTTATTGCTAATTTGTTTAAACCACTTTTTCTGACGCACAAATATATACTTATCATATATGCCTTTTAATTCAACGTGTAAAAACAATAAGGGTAAACGATCGGATATATAACATGCATGCGTACAGGACTGTATACATCATTCTTAAGATATCCTACCGTGGGCCCAGGACTCCCTCGACGTCCTTGTGGTCCCTGGGGTCCCGGTGGTCCTGGTTTCTAAGAACGATAAAATTGAAAACAAATTAAAACAGGTTCTATTGTATACCAAGTGTCAAAGTTCATGCATTCATGCATCTCATTGGAGGAGAGCGTATCACGTGAAAGTCATAAATTCAACTGGCAACAGCTCTAAGTTAGCTCCAGTCATGGAGCTTTCTTGTTTTTTTTGTTTTTTTCTTTGACGTGATGTATAATGAGCTACCTATATATTGACTGGAACATTCGGGAAAGGGTGTGTTTTGTGCATCCTCAACTCCCAATATTTGTGGCAGTCACGGGTTCTTTCCTCGGTCCCAGTCAATAAGTATTATTAGTTATCTAATTCTTATCCCATGCATTAGAAACTGGTCATCAATAATGGCGGGGGCTGTGGGTGCATGAGGAACTCTCAACACTGCACTTTTTCTTGAGCCCGAATTCCATATCGAATTCTGTAACCCCCCCCTTCCTTATTAAAATATACATATATTAAAATATTTATGGTCATTTATATTGTATAAAGCAGCCCCCTGGCACAGATTTTGGGGTTTGAGGCCGCCCCCATTCAGGCTAAATTACATGGGAGCGCCCCTATTTTCTCACCCACAGCCACCTCCCATTATCAATGATCGGTTCCTCAATGTCCCAACCAGGGAATCGAATTCATTTCAGGTCAGCCTACGTCCTCCTACAATCGTGGATATAGACCTTCCAAAAACACTCCAGTTAAAATTTCCCAGTGAACCTGGGAATAACACTATTACTGCATGTTGTTAACTTAATGTTCATGGTTAAATTTCCCGGTTATTTTACCTGGCTTCCTGCCACAGTCTAGTTAAAGTATCCAGGAATCTGATTATATTAGACCATGCAGGACGTCCTTGTAAAATAGCCAGACTCTGAGACTCTATGCTAGGTGGGTTATCTACCTATAGCATAGTCTGGTTAATTTGAACAGAAAGAAAAGGTTAAAATAACCAGGAAATTTAACCAAGACTAATGGTTTCGCTGCATGGCCAATAATACATTAATTTTCTACTGCTACTTTGCCTTCTAGGACAAAACGCACGTTAGGTTTCTCAAGTAAGGTTCGTTTATACTACTAAAGTAAGGTTGGTTTATACTACTAAAGTAAGGTTGGTTTATACTACTAAAGTTTTTTTGTTGTTTTTTTCAGTAAGGTTGGTTTATACTACTAAAGTTTTTTTGAGAAATCTAACGTGCGTTTTGTGCCAGAAGGCAAAGTGATTGTCTTTTGCTTGATATATGATATATGATATGATATGATATGATATACTTATACTTCTAAGGTTGCATGGTTTATACTACTAAAGTTTTTTTTGAGAAATCTAACGTGCGTTTTGTCCTAGAAGGCAAAGTGATTGTCTTTTACTTGATATATGATATATGATATGATATACTTATACTTCTAAGGTTGCATGGTTTATACTACTAAAGTTTTTTTTGAGAAATCTAACGTGCGTTTTGTCCTAGAAGGCAAAGTGATTGTCTTTTGCTTGATATATGATATATGATATGATATACTTATACTTCTAAGGTTGCATGGTTTATACTACTAAAGTTTTTTTGAGAAATCTAACGTGCGTTTTGTCCTAGAAGGCAAAGTGATTGTCTTTTGCTTGATATATGATATATGATATGATATACTTATACTTCTAAGGTTGCATGGTTTATACTACTAAAGTTTTTTTTGAGAAATCTAACGTGCGTTTTGTCCTAGAAGGCAAAGTGATTGTCTTTTACTTGATATATGATATATGATATGATATACTTATACTTCTAAGGTTGCATGGTTTATACTACTAAAGTTTTTTTGAGAAATCTAACGTGCGTTTTGTCCTAGAAGGCAAAGTGATTGTCTTTTGCTTGATATATGATATATGATATGATATACTTATACTTCTAAGGTTGCATGGTTTATACTACTAAAGTTTTTTTGAGAAATCTAACGTGCGTTTTGTCCTAGAAGGCAAAGTGATTGTCTTTTGCTTGATATATGATATATGATATGATATACTTATACTTCTAAGGTTGCATGGTTTATACTACTAAAGTTTTTTTGAGAAATCTAACGTGCGTTTTGTCCTAGAAAGCAAAGTGATTGTCTTTTGCTTGATATGATATGATATGATATGTATACTTGTACTTCTAAGGTTGCATGGTTTATACTACTAAAGTTTTTTTTTGAGAGATCTAACGTGCGTTTTGTCCTAGAAGGCAAAGTGATTGTCTTTTGCTTGATATGACATACTCATACTTCTAAGGTTGGTTTATACTACTAAAGTTTTTTTGAGAAATTGTCTTTTTCTTGATATGATTCTGTATAGCCACGTGTCGTGGCATGCATGCATGCGCGTTAATGAATGAATAGATTGCTCACGAAGAGTGACGAATAACGTGCTTAGTATTCGGAAGGATTACCACATTTAAGATTCAGTTCTCAATTAAATACAACTATATTCGTGATTGCAAAACAACACGTATAGCTAATGTTTTTTTTTTGCGATTTAAGGGGATCAAAAGAGACAAAATTAATTTTCATTGCCATATCCCTTTAAAGATATGATCTTATTTGGTTTCTTAATCTCGTATATATAATATACTATATCAGTTTATACTATAGATTGTACAATTAAATGAATGACTAGACTCGAACTGATGCCTCTTCATGTTTCAAAGGGCATTCTCCGTCATAGAAAGGTTTCGTTGTTAGACTAGTTTGTTGCTAAAGGTAGATCATGTGGGTGTTTCATGTATTTGTTGCTACGGTGATGATTTGTTTATTTTGTACGACAATGTTATTTAAATGCTTGTGGGAACCCAGTGAAGCATAAACAAACTAGATATAAGGAAGCATTCCAAATTGCTGAATATACTTGTGGGTTGAGTTGGTTCATTGAATAATTTCGTTTTCATTCCCCATTACTAATTGTACCAAGCCGTGTTTAGCAAGTATTTTCCTTAATATATTGCCTTAAATAAGATATAAAGAAAATATAAATATAATTGAGATTTTCATCTTTCAGTAGTTGTGATCATAAAAACTACCTATTTAAAATGACTATATATGATGCAGGGAAATAGAACATTTTCTCTAGTATACTTCTCAAAAAGATTTTATTCAAATCACAAACACAGTAAAATAAAAATATAATTTCTATATCAACATATATGTAACAAATATAAAACATTTTCCGTGTTGATATACACAGTTATATCAACACGAGTGGAAATTGAGAAACGAGAAATTGTGTGGAAACACGACGCCGAAGGGCGGAGTGTTTTCACACAATTTCGAGTTTTCCCAATTTCCACGAGTGTTGATATATAACTATATATCAATACGGAAAAAATGTTTTATATTTGTTTTATAATATAGCACAAAGAAACATAAAGAAAGAAATTTCCAACGTTTCCGTGTTGACATTGAGTTATATCAACACGGCTCTTAGCCAATCAGCATTCAGAATTTACAAATGCTATATTATAAACGTATACATACTTAATTCTACTACTATGGCTAAGCCGGGAAAAGGTAGGCGCCCTGTCTAAGAAGATTGCCTCCATAACATCATTTTTTGATAAGCTTTGTTTCCTTTTCCATGATATAAATAATATGGACAAGGAATATTTATGCCAAAATAAACATTTCATACAGTATAATTATAGCTGCAATCTCAGAGTATTTGTCTATAATCCTCTTAAATAAGGTTTATATAGTTCACGTTTAATAAACGTGCACATCCGCGCAGATAATTTATACTGCCCACACAAAATCCGATCGAGGCGTATTTATTTTCCTCTATCTTTAGTTTTACTTGGCAACGAATACAATAAATACGCGGAAAAAATGACGTTAGATTTTCCGTTCTTTTAATCATTAATGATTGCTATTTTACATGCTTTGTTATTTTTTTACCGAATTAGATTAAATGAGGTTATTTTTTATTTGCTTTTGATTTAACCTTTGAGTACAAGGTTATATAAGTTTGAAAAATAAATTAACTATGTTTATGTTAAGTTAAAAATATCCCCCTAATATATAGCGAGCATTTTTGACCAGATATGCAAGTGTTAAACCAACTTAAGCTGTTAAAGAAGTATCAGGAATATTGGCAGAAACATGTCTATCCTTATTAAAACATTGTCGAGTATGCACGTATATATAGCGTAGGTGACATATTATGAACGATAATGTATAACTCTTCGCCATCTGTGATCTAATTTTTTTTCCAGTAACCATCCAGTTAGCCCAGTAGGGTTATATTGAACCAAATTTAACTCCAAACGTGGAGTTAAATTAACCACTCCTTGAAATTAACAGTGAATTTAAACTGAATGCAATTCCAAGCGTTTTGCAATCATGATTTGATCAATAAAACCACACGTAAGATAGTAAATTTTCGATTTAATCTAAATGATTTTCATACTAATTAGCAGACTAATTAATGAGTTAATTAGTTTAATTAGTCTGAGGATCATTTAGATTGAATAGAAAATTTAGTAATCAAAACATGATTCTAAAACACTTCAAGTTGATATTAGGCCAATTAAAAAAAAATTTCAGTTTTTCATCACCGCCACAGCCCCTGAAAAATTGGCCGGCCGAAATTTTGTTTTAATTTATATTAATTAAGCGAGCATCAAGAAAAAAGTTCCAAAAAATTTGAAATTTAAATAATCAACGGAAGAACTGTAGAAGGCTACAAGTGCATGACAAAGGCTATGAAATTGCTATTTTCAGTAGTCATACTTTATGGTTCAACTTAATTGTTTTTATTCCTTTAATAACTATGTTTCATTACGCATCAGTGGTGCGCTATCAGAGTACAACGTGGTCTTGCATTCAGATGTGAAAGTTAAAATGGCTCTTGACTGTGACTATTTTCTCGCACAGACAAAATGTATGAAATGAAAAACCACCTTTTAGCCCGTTTTTTAAAGGGGAAATACACTACTTCCACTATTAAAAGGCTCTGGGAACGAGGTTTACTGTTAACGAAAAAAATAAAAATAAAATAAAAAACCGCACGCCCGCCCCATGTTTTTCAAAAAATCTGATGAAAAACTGAAAATTTTTTAATGGCCTTTGTGTTCTGGTTCATATTTTTTACAAATTCACTCAACACTATGGTGATACTAATCATACTATATAACATGGTGATAACCTTTTCAAATGATGCAGTATTTAACAAGAAGTTGAACGAAAGATGACTCAGAATGGCTCCTTCGATACCACAGAATAAAAACAACGATTCCGTGCTGATTTCGTTTTGTATATTGTGCTCTTAAAAATGATCGAGACTCTGGCATGGCGAGTAACATGCAGTCTTGGAAGAACTGTTTAATTCTAAAAGTCTTAGAGTTTGAGTGTATAAAATATAAGAGAAAATTAATACTTTAAGCGCTCTTCCGCATGCGAGGCCAAATTATAAACATACCAACCAGTCGAATTGGGGTGGCAAAGGTGAAAGGCACAACGAAACGCCACACAAGGTGCCAGAAAAGCCTAATACAATTAATATGCAGTATAATGCGCGCAAAAGCGCTTAAATCAATCCTTTTAAAATTTTATTTTGTGATAGCTCTTACGTGCATTGTGCAAGGCTGGTGATTTTTATAATAAGATTTATACAACTTCGGTACAGGTAAATCTAGACCCATACTTGGTAGTAAGACAATGTGTCTAACTTGAGGTTAAACGAATGATAAAAAAACCCGTCAAGGACAAGGGCATGATAAGGCGTTATAATCACAGTCTAGTAGCAAACAGGGAGACTAACCATTTTAACACGTTCAGATAAAAATAATTAACAATGATATGTTTCACGACTGGTTTCACGTTAAAAATTCTTTTAAGAAACCTTATATAGATAGCCATGCATTGCCATTGGTTTAGCTTTATATCCACTGTATGAAGTCAATACAAGCATAAAATTTATGTCCATTTATGCGCCAAACATCAACTTCAAACGCCAAACATCAACTTCAAACGTACAGCTTTGGTGAATATACGTGAACTATTCAATAGTGGTTAATTTGCTTTCTTAAATCATTGCTAAAGAACACAAGTTTAATAATTGTTTAATATATTTCAAAAGGTGTAATTAAAGCTGTTATAATAGAGTTGTAAAATCAAAAACTTCGTTAGCGGTTTGACGTTTGCCGTAAACGTCAATCTAAAACTCTCTAACGACATCTACAACTCCCGCAAGATTCTCACTATTTATTAATTTCCTACAATATTATGAATTTCGTTGTATTAATAGCATTTTTGTCCGGCTTGTTTAAGGTTTTTTACTCTCGATGCCCTTACGATCTCGTGTTATTTATACCTTCATGCATGAACGCAATCATCTTATAAAATAAGATTTACTTGCAGTCTGGCCAAACTCGACGGGATTACAAAAGGTTCAAATGAATTAAATCACACCAAGATACGAAATGTGAATTGACGCGCAAAGATTAAGGGTGCAACACTTAAAATTTGATGCCAGAATTTTAACGAGATTATTAAGTTAATTAACACTGTAACACCGGTAAACTGAAGAGGATTTCTCTGTCTTCCTGACATTGAACACGGCTTAAAGTAAACATATGTGTATATAGCTGAGATTGATCTAGGCAAGAAGGACAAAATCCAACACCACAGGCACAGCAAGAAAGAGCATCTTTAATAGAATGAGTAAAATTGCAAAGTTTTGTTGCGAAATGGTGTAAAATGAAGACAATATAGCCCTGTGAAGTTCGCAAATTTTGTATATATTTGTATTACGCGCGGCAAAAATAAACACTTTCGGCTCAAAAATGGTTATCTTTCCCGGGCGTAATGCAAATATATCACAAAATTTGCGAACTTCACAGGGCTATATTTTCCTCATTTTACAACAATTCGCAACCAAACTTTGCAATTTTACTCATCAGTTTAAGATGCTCTTGCCAACTACGGTAATGGTTATTGGATTTCATTCTTCTTGTCCAGATCAAAATTTCGTCTATAGCTCGAATCATCTATTCAGGGGAATTAATTTTGAAGCCAGAATATTTACAATGACGATCTCGAGATCGAAACTACTGGGGGTGCCCCCCCCGTCTCTATCTCGTCGGGCATATCCATACAATTTCGTCGGGCAAAATTTGTAAAAGCAATAGTTGCAGGAAAAATGTTGATAAATTTACGAAAATATTACTGAAAAATTGTACAAATTACGACGGTACATTATTTTGAACGTTAGTGAAAAATGCTATGTCCGGAATCCCCCAATGAGACTTGAGGCGGCCATATTGTGAGGAGGCCACTAATATTATGAAGAGGCATCTAATAACCAATTTCTCTCTAAAGGCAAAATGTTTTTATTCCTATACCAATCACCAGAAACTTTAAGAACCTCTCCTAGCATGCCAGCAACACCACAGTAGATTTCAGACATTCCAACTCTCCAGATTTTCCTGGGGGTCTCCCGAAAATTCATGCAATCCCCTGGTCTCCCAATTTTTCTGAATATTCAGGAAATATCGTAACAAAATCATAAACATACTGTTTTTAGCAGCGTAATAGTCTGTCTTGACCTTTTATGAAGTTACTTTATGACAATTTATAGGATCACTTATATAACAACATATTCCCAAAATGCAGCAAACGCCATTTCAGAAGACTTAATTTTTCTTATTTTTTCCCAGAAGAACTAGATTTCAACTCACTGAACAGTCTCTCTAATTTTTACCTCCAGTGGTTGGAATGTCTGAGTGATTAGATCACACCAACCGTTGATATTGTTTATATGAGTTCATGGTTGGGGTACAAATCCCACATTCAAAAATTAGTAAATATCCAGAAAAAGATAGTAAGATTAATAACCTTTAAATCATATTCAGACCATACTGAACCAATTTTTAGTGACCTTAATATACTAAATTTGTATAAATTGAATGATTTTTTAACGTCTATTTATGTTCCGATATTTTAATTTACAAAATCTTCCGGAAATTTTTGATAAATATTTTTTAACTAACAAAGAAATCCATAATTATAATACAAGAAACGCATTATTGCTACACAAAAATTGTACTAGAACAAATTATAAAAAACACACGCTTGCTAATCACGGCATCGATGTTTGGAATAATCTTCCAGCGCAATATAAGCAAATTAAATCTTCCTTAGTATTTAAATTAACAATGAAAAAATATCTTCTTCAGTCAAATTAGAATTTGTAATTAGAATTCATAAGTACTATGTGGCATGATGAATTCTACTTGGAATTCATCATGCCACATAGAAGGACAAGTAATTGTTATACTTTAATCTATTATATCTTTATACAATCTCCTTATTGTATAATAATATATCGTCATAATTACTTTGAAAACAATTGAACTATACTAACTTTAATATTATATTAATTTAAATTGTAACTAGGGACCTTAAATAAAAGCCTTTTGGTTTCTAGAAGGTTCCAAGCCCTACTATTTGTAAATATTTCCTATCTTAATTGTTAATTTTGATGTGATTTGGGCGAATAAATAATAATAAATAATAAATAAATAAATATTATGCATAGCAGACGCTCTGTCCGGGTTCTCCTCCGCAGTGAGGCTTTGAGTTGCTACCGAAACGTATCAAAAACATTTCAAAATTTAGTGAATGTTGATTGGTTAATTCTTCCGTAGTATACCGTAACCTCCGACCATAAGCCCTGGGCTTATATTCTTTCGTAAGCGACTTTTGATGGGCTTATACAAGGGGGGGGCTTATATACGGGGGG